CTCGCCTCCCACAGCATCCTTCTCTAATCCTTCGCTTCCTCCCGTAGGTGTCCCGGCTTTCATGATCTCCATCATCCTGAGCACGGTTCCTCTCGTCACCATTCAGAAGATTCCAGACGACAGCGATTACTATTATGATATGGATTATAATAACATTAAGGGTGAGTGGGAATTGGGGGTTCTCTTGTTGTTGTTGTTGTTGTTCTTTTTTTGGGGGGTTTATATTGTTGTTGTTGATGTTGTTGTTGTTGTTCTTTTTGTTGTTGTTGTTGTAATAGTTGTTATTGTTGTTTTTGGGTTTACATTGTTGTTGTTGTTGTTGTTGTTATTGATGATGTTGTTATTGTTGTTTTGGAGTTTATATTGTTGTTGATGATGTTGCTGTAGTTGTTGTTCTTTTTCTTGTTGTTGTTATTGTTGCTGTTTTGGGTTTATATTATTGTTGCTGTTATTGTTTTTGTTGTTTTGGTTTTGGGTTTTTATTGTTGTTGTTCATGTTTTTTCCCACAATTTTTGTTTCTTTTCTTTTTCTGTGTGTTGTTAAAATAGATAAATAAATGAAAAAAAAGAAAAGAAATGATCCTCTTCCCAAAACGAACAACTTGACAGCCAGTACTTCACCCCCCCCCTCCCCCCCATTGCAAAAAGCAAATTCAACCTCTCCTCTCCCCCCCTTTAAGAACTGGACAACGTGTACGGTAACCCTCCCGAGGACGTGGACACCGCCTTCCAGATGATGATCAAGACGGAAACTTGGATCAGAGACATCGATATGCGGTTTAAGTTGGGACAAGCTTTCCATCATGTTGAAGCCGATGGATCAGATTCTCAGGTGAGTTCTTGGGTTCGTGCGTTGCTGTTTATTTGATTGTTGTTTCTTCCTAATTCATGTCTTCCTTTGTTGGTGTGTTTCTCTCTGTTGGCGGGCCCCGTTCCTGTGTTTTTCTTACTCTTTGTTTCTTTGTCTGTCTATTTGTCTGTCTCAGTTTCTCTCTCTCTCTCTCTGTCTATCTATCTATCTATCTATCTATGTCTTTCTTCCTTGCTCTCTCTCTCTCTCTATCTATCTATCTATCTGTCTGTCTGTCTGTCTGTCTATCTATCTATCTATATCTTTCTTCATTTCTTTCTCTCTCTCTCTCTCTCTCTCTCTCTCTCTCTCTCTCTCTCTCTCTCTCTCTCTCTCTCTCTCTCTCTCTCTCTCTCTCTCTCTCTTTCTCTCTCTCTCTCTCTCTAGCCTCCAGGCTAGTACGGTAGTGGTAACGTGTCGGCCTCTCATCCGAGGGGTCGGCGGTTCGCTCCCCGCCCAGGCACGAGAAGTTGCAATTGTCACCTGGGGTTACTGATGTGGCTGGGCACCACGGTGGGTAAGGACTAAGCTCATCCGAGTCAGCACCAGCTGACACACTGTTAGCGACTCGACATTAGTCGGCACAGGCCGGGTTCCCCTCATAGCCCGGGCGAGGCTCAGCTTCGCATATCGGACTTATCCTTATCTCTCTCTCTCTAAGTATCGATTTGTTGTCATTATTACCATTTATTGGATAACTATTGTTTTTTAGTATAATTGTTTGCTGTTGGTGTTTATTTTAGTGTAATCGTTTGCTTTGTCAGTCTTTGATTCAATGCTTTTCCACTTTAATCATCACTAAGCTGTGTATAATTTTGTCTCATTTCTTCAAAATACCCAAGAAAATATTCTGCCGTTTGCTTTATCCGTCAAAAACTTTTCTCTCTTTCGTAACTTTTTCTTCTTCCTTCAATAACTTTCTAGAGGCAAGTCATATCAACCATACATAACTTTTTTCCTTAACTTCATAGATAGTTTTCTTTTTTTGTATTATTATCATTATCGCGTTTGTTTATTGGTACGAGAAGGAAATAGATCATACATTGGTAACTATTATACTTTAAATGAATGTATATCATGTGAATGTTTTATAGAGAATTAGTCCATGAAAATGCGATAGATGTCAAAGATATAACAAGTTTTTTTTTACTTATTCAAGTGAACATATGCATTATAGAATTTCTTTCCGTTTTATTTTGTTGGATAATACATGCGCGCACACACACACACACACACACACACACACACACACACACACACACACACACACACACACACACACACACACACACACATATATATATATCCAAACCACTTACACACACACACATATATATATCCATACCACTTACACACACACACACACACACACACACACACACACACACACACACACACACACACACACACACACATATATATATATATATATATATATATATATATATATATATATATATGTGTGTGTGTGTGTGTGTGTGTGTGTGTGTGTGTGTGTGTGTGTGTGTGTGTGTGTGTGTGTGTGTATGTGTGTGTGTGTGTGTGTGTGTACATGTGTGTGTAAGTGGTTTGGATATGCAAACGTAAAGATCATTCACTCTTACATAATTCTGAAAACAAAAACACAAAAAAAACAACATTTCTTCAGCA